TTTGAGGCTGTGATAATATTGTAGCGATGTTTCATTTTAAAATGAAATGTTGAAAATGCATGTTGAAATATGTCTGGATAAAATTATATAATATCTGGGATTGCTTCAAAATAATGTAGCTGATAAATATATGAAGATTGCTCAAGATCATTGCTGAAAGCAGGCCATGGCTACATAGGGAATTCATTATTCTCTTCTCCTATGTTTATGCTTGAAATTTTCCAAATTCAAAATAAGCTTTTAAAAATGTGTAGTCTGACATATAATCAACACTTCAGTCCTCATTCAAAGAGAGGATCTCTCTTTCCCAATACAACCTGTTAGTGGTTGTCTGCTTTGGGTGTGTGACCACCTATTCTTTTTCTTGCTAGTGCCTGCCTCTCCCTCTTGCTTCCCAAGGCCAGGCATGAGACAGAAGGAAAGATGAGGGTTTAGACAGTTTTCACCCGTGTGTGTGTGTGGTGTGTGTGTGTGTGTGTGTGTTTGGGGCTTGGGCTTTTGTCCTGACTGCTTTCAAAGCTGGCTTGCCAGTTTTGGTCAGTTTCCTTGTGTTGTGGTTTGAATTCTGTACCACCCCACACACCCCAAAGATATGCTGATGTCCTAACCCTCAGTACCTGCGAATGGAACTTATTTAGAAACAGGGTGTTTACAGATATAAGCAAATTCAGATAAGCTCAGACTGGGTTAGAATGGGTCCAAAATGGTGTCTTACATGGAGAGAGATGTGAAAACACAGAGGAGACTCAGGAGAAAGAGGCCTGCAAAGACAGAGACAGAGGTTGGTTAGTTTGCCATAAAGCGAGCAACACCAAAATTTTGTTGACAACCATCAGAAACTGGAAAGGGGCACGGACAGATGCTACCTGAGGGCCTTGCTGACCACTTGATCTCAGATATTTAGCCTCCAGAATTGTGGGACAATCCACTTTTATTGTATTAAGCAGCCTAGTGGCTGGTACTTTATTAGGCAGCCCTAAGAACTGAGTATCTCTTGGGTCAGATACTCCCACTCTTGGGAGGATCCCCTCGGCCTCATGCAATGTGTTTGAGCCCCTGGATCACCTGCTCTGATGGTGGTTCCTGTGGAGTTAATCCAGCATGCACTCTTGCAGTGACTCCTTGGGCCCAAAGATGCCCTCACCTGTCCTTTACTTCTCACGCATCGACGTTCTCAGTTGTAGCACGAAGCATTTAGACATTTTCCTCTCTTTAGAAATCCTGGGCTGAGGTTACACCCCACCCATTCTGTCCTCTCCCTGACTGTGGGACCACACACCCAGTTTTAGACCCACCCCAGTAGAAAGTAATGGGAATTCTCCCATCTCCTGGGAAGCTCTCCCAAGAGATCTCACAAATCCTCTTTCTCATCACTCTGATCTTTTGTATCCTTGATCTGTCCAAGGGAATCAAGAGCCTTGGAACTGGGGCTGACAATTTCTTTGATAAATTATCACGCAGGGTTGGCTAAGTCTCTCCAGTAGCTGAATTATGTACCCATATAACTTGTTCATTGTTTTTTTGGATTGTTCTCTTTTATTGTGTGTAATCACAATCATACCATTAATATTAAAACTTTTTTTTTTTCCCTGTGTATAGAGATTCTTTAATTATAGTACATATCATCTTATCTTAGGTATTTTTTTGACTGCTACAGTGAATTCCCTAGGAAGGATTTTTAGTTTACCCCTCACTAACCTAGTGATGAATATTATGATACTTCTAATTTTTTTGCTGCTATAACTATCTGAAAATCAACATCTTTAAAGAGCCTCCTTGTGCACATGAGCAAGTGTTTCCTGGGTTAGAAAAAAGATACTTGAAAACTGCTGAGTCACAGGCTACATACTTTAAAATGTTTAATTGATTCTGTCAAATACTCTCTAATGTGGTTGCTTCACCTTCCGTTCCTTCCATTAGCAGTGTTTTACTGCACTCATTTATTCCACTTTCATCAATCAGGGGTGTTCTATTTCTCTTTATAGTGCTCCAAGTTTTTTGTGAATTTATACTAATATTCTCTAACTGGATTAATGAATTCCATTGCCTGGATGGAATCAAGTGATACTCAGTATTCATTCCCTCCACATTTTAGTGCACTTCCAGTACAGAAATCAGAACATTTTAAAAGCAAACCACACTTAAATCCCTGTAGGTAAGATTCTGGGTGAAACTAGGTCCAGACAATGAGATTCTTTCTCCAGAAATTGGAAGGTGGAGGGAGGCTGATACATCTTCTTGTTTTTGGGCTGATTTCTGATGGCAGGTTTGGTCATGAAATAGTTTTTTCTTCCCCCAGAAATGGTTCAGTGTCCATTGCCCAGATTTTTGGAGGTGAGGGTGCCAGTGACTTCTGGATACTAGCTACTTGATCCTGGATCTCATCTGCACAGGCATTTGCTTGGACCAGTGGTTCCAGTGGCAGTGTCTTCATTTTCCATGTTGAAAATGGTTGGGAGAGATGGGATGTCTTCCCTGATGTGCAATGGGCATCATTCCTGGAGGCCTACCTGCAACCCTGACTTCCAGTCCTTCCACCAATTTCCCAAGCACCCGTGTAATTCCTCATGTTAATTCCTGTTCTGTTTGGGGTGGTCTCTGCCTACTGAAATTGAGTGCCTACTAATATATAATTGCTGTTTTATTTCTGATTTTACTTAGTTACAGTAGGCAAAGGCCCTGCTAGCTGTCATTAATGACCTTACTTTCTGTGTTGAAGACCAGATATTGAAAAACTAAATATTCCATTCCACAAACAGGTATTTAGCTCAGCTCAGTGCTGGAGTTAAGAGATGGCAGAGTTAATATGTTGGATCTAAAACAAGCCCAGGCTTTAATTCTATCTCCTGTATTTTGGTTTTGGCTCTGCCTCTAATGTGAACTTCAGATGATCTTCAAATCCCTTACCTTTTGTGGAACTGTGTTACCTTGACTTTAAAATAAAGGGTTTCAGGGGCTTTTAAGGTCATTTTAGCTCAACTACTCTATGGGCCTAAGAAATCATTATACAAGCTTAAATAACGATGGTTAACTGCTAAATAACATCATGGCCAAGCAAATGACATATTTTCTTCCCTTCCTCCTTATTCTGCTTGTCAGACTCAGGCACTAACGTTTCTCTGCTCTGTCTGCTTTCTTTTGTCTTGTCTGCCATTAATCATAAATTGACATAAAATTGCGGTTCTTGAGAATTAGATGTGTTGCTATGGAAACAGCCTTGATTCATTGATGTAAACATCAAATTGTTGAGGCTGTTCTTGGAGGTGCTGGTAAAAAGGAAAACACAAAATAAATGATATAATAAAAATGGCGTTTTGTTTTTAGAGACAAATGAATCACACTCTGAAGGCTGGATCTGAAGGCTATGTGACAGGTGGTTGTACAGATTTGGATATATAGTAATGCAATTTCTGATTCTGTGGCTGACATGATATAGCAAGACTGAATTGTGAGTATTTGTCTCATTCCCCTGCACCCAGGTTGCAAAGGACTCTCAGAATTCATTGAAACTAACAAATAGAAACACTTCCACTTCAGGCTTATTGGTTGTGACTCAAATTGTTTCCTTTCTTGCAGCTGAGTGAAATTTCATTTCTTTCCTTCAGCATTTCATTTAATTTCAGAATGGAAAATTCATATTCTTGCCCTTATCTTTTTCTCCCTCCTTTCCTTTCTTTTATTTTATTGAGGTATAATTTACATACAATAAAATTCACTTATTTTAAGTGAATTTTGATAAGTGTGTAGTCATTTAATTTCTCTCAAAATCAAATAGAAACATTTCCAACCACCACCGCTTAAAAAGTTCCCTCTTGTCTCCTTACTATAGTTCCCTCTACCCTCATCTCTAGCCCCAGAAAATCACCAGTTACCTTCTGTCACTATAGTTTTACATAAATTTCACATAAATTAAAATATACAGCATATTGTCTTCTGTATTTGACTTTTAAAAAATGTACAATATTTTTGTACTTATCCATGTAGTTGTACATATGATTTCAGTCCTTTTTCTCATTTTATAATATTCCATAATATGACTATCTCACAATTTGTTTCTTCATTTACTGGCAGATTTTGTCTTGTTTCCAGTTTCTGACTACGGTGAATAATGTTTCTCAGGGACATCCTTGTGTGGGCATATGGTGCTATTTCTCTCCAGTATCTTCTCCAGAGTAGGATTGCTGTGTCACATGGTAAGCGTGATAAGCTTCTTATTTTTATAAGAGACTGCTATACTGTGTCTGTACCAAAGTGACTGTACCATTTTTCATTCCCACCAGTAAAGAATGAGAGTTTCATACCTTTGCCAATAGGGGCTATCAGTATTGTCTTTCCTTTTTATAAGATTTATTTATATATGCATGCAAGAACTGGGGTGCAGGCCAGAGGTGTGGGGGGTGAGAGGATTCACCAGAGACAGAGTGAGGAGCAGAGCAGGCAGATCTACTGAAATATACTGCTGAGGGGAGCAGCAGACGAGACAGGAGAAGTCTGCTTGCCATGTGGATTAACTCCCTGGGCAGGGATTGAACTCAAGTTGCAGTGGCTGGTTTTAGCTTGACAGTGCTGAGACTTTAACCCCTGAGCCACCAGGGAGCCTCCAGCAATGTCTTTCAACTTCAGTGCTAGTCTCATCTCAGACCAGAGCCAGATTGTGAACCACACTTTGAGCAGAACTTCTCCAAGCCTCTCATAGGAATATATCCATGATCCTAAATGAAATAATAAAAGAAGCCTAGGCATTCTGGTTAGCAAGCAACCTAATGATAGATCTAATGCAAATCTCCCCCTTGGATCAAAAAAATGAAAATGACACAAATCTAGCTCTATAACTTTTTATAGGTCCCATTTTTGCTGCCAACCCTGGAGTATACCTATTGTTTGAGAAGTATTTTGAGTTTCCTTCTTTCTGGAATAATGAAAGGTAAACATAATATCCGTTCTTAAAAATGAACCCTAATCTAGTTCTTTGAGCCGCGTGAGCTCAAAGTTATGTCCATCAGCACCATTTCTGCCCCCTTTAGCAGTGTTGGTTTGAGCTTGGATGAAGCAAACTATAATGGGCGGACAGTCTGGAGGAAGGAGGCGGTGATCCATGTCAATGGAGTCAGGGGACGTATCTTGAGTCATAGTAAGAAAAAAATCAAGTCAAACTTTAATTAGGAGCCATGAGGGAGAGAACATATTGCCAGAGGGGATAGCTGAAGCAACTTTTCTAGCTCAGGGAAGTTTCTTAACTTTTGGGGATAGGAAGGAGGGAACAAACATATCATTGATCTGAGATGTCAGGGTAGTCCATTAGCAGCTGCACTTTCTGTGCTGTAGAAGGCAGGTTTGTCATAGTGCTGGCAGGTGAACCAAGTGCCTCACAATAATGTGTGACTTTCTAAGTGTGGGCTCAACAGCCCTAAAGGTGGGTTGATTCAATTGCTTATTTGGGGGTGAAGAACATATTAGAGTAGAATATTTAGAAATGCATTAAAACATTTTTATCTCTAATTACTTGTAGAAGTGGGTTAGAGCTGAGTGGGGTTATTTTGCTAAATAGTGCAGAAGAAGTTCCATTAAGAGTTTAACTTACTAAGAAGCAATTGTGCTCTGCTCGGAATAAAAGTAGTCATAAAGTGTAAGAGAGCCCGCTGAGACAATGCTGTCCTTGCTGCTAACAGACTATTTTTGATGACATATTCTAAAGTGGGATACAGCTACTGAAGACACACAAAGAATTAGACCTATATTAAAACTCAGCACTTTTTTTTTTGTTTATTTTTGTTTTATTTTAGAAAATACAAAGTTTGGGGGATGTTTATGGTGATGAGATTTTTGGAGTAAGCAACTGTAGGTAATATTTTTCTATTTTTCTTTTGGTATAATTAGCCTTAGTTACGATGGATATAGGGATTTATCTCAATAGCAAAAGTGTTTATCTTAGCAAAAATATATGGTAAAAATAAAAATCTAAGCTTATGAAGGTGAAACGAAGCACTGTAAAGCAATTTACATATTTATATACGTTATAAATTTATTACGTAATCATGGGTCAGCAAGTATGAAGTTCTCTCAAGGGCTAAATCAAATGAAATAAAAATTTAAGTATGATAATAATGATGACTTCTGGGTTAAGAAGGCTGGAGGCAGTGAGATAACCACCTTCTTCCCCACCATACACAATTTCTAAAATGATTCTTGAGGGGCCTCCCTAGTGGCGCAAGGGGTTAAGACGCAACCTATGAAGCTATCTGCAGCCACTGCAGCAAGAGATCGATCCCCGGCCAGGGAGATACCCACAATGCGCAGCAGACCTCTCCTGGCTTGCCCACTCCTACTCTGTCTCTGGTGAATCCTCTCACCCCCCACACCTCTGGCCTGTGCCCCAGTTCTTTATGTATGCATAAATAAATAAATTAAAAAAATAAATTAAACGATTTTTAAAATCAATTACAAATTGTAATTGTCCTGAAGATTAAACCCATTAATTGTTACATTCCAGGAAAAGCTTTAGAAGTCTGTGTGTCTAAGAAGCTCCTGATCAGGATGGTTATAAGGTGGTTCCCATGCATCCTGAGCCCCAGAGAAGTGGGGTCTCCATAGATGATCAACCATCAGTCACCTCTCTATTTCCCAGGGACAACTCTGTGGGTGCTGGGGCCCATTTCATCCCAGGCCTCTAGCTCTGTCTCTCCTTCTGCTCAAGGGCAGCAGTTTGCAATCATGCAATGCACTTGGAGGAGAAGCTTGATGGGTGGCTCACTGGAACAGGAGCAGGAAAATAATTCAGGTGCAAAATCAGAAAATGTGAGGGTACTAGAAATCATTAGAGATTTTAGTGTCTGTATCTAGCAAGCAATGAACTACAAACTGCTTCGAAATATTCTGAAAGAAAGAATTCTTGAACGGGTCCAACAAAAAGCTAGTAGACCTTAGTATATATAAATATATAATAATGTAGTCTCTCGATAACTGGTTACTCATTTGGGAAAAATATAGTCTAGATCCTCATCTGTGCTCTATTGGTGAAAATCAGGATGGTACAGTTGCTGGGGAAAAGAATAGTGAGGTTCTTAAAAAAAACAGAATAAATTCAATTAAATAAATAAAAATGAATAACTATGTGATTCAGTTCTTTCTCTTCTCAAATAATTAAAAACAGGATCTTCAAGAGGCATTTGTACACTAGCATTCACAGCAGCATTAATCACAATAGCAAAATGTGAATTTTACCCAATGTGCATCACTGGATGAATGGATAAACAAAATATGGTGTATACACATAATAAAATATTATGTAGTCTTCAGCAATCAAAAAAGATAAACTCATGCTATTCGCAGCAACTTGGGTGGAGCTGGAAGGGATTATGGTCAGTGCAATAAATCGAAGGGAAAAAGAAAAATATCGGATGGTTTCACTTATAGGAGGAATCTAGGGGAACTGTAGCAGCAGGAAGGCACAGTGCAGGATCTCTATGATCCGAGCAGATGGGTGAAGGAGGAGTCCTGGAGCACTCGACTTTTTCAGGTTTTTTTTTTAAATTTTTTTTATTTTACCAGGTACATGGCAGGCAGGGGTGCCTGGGGGCTAGGAGGCTGACAGGCCTTCCAGCCCCTGGGGAGTACTCACTCTGGGCTCTCTGGCGTTCTCTCGTGGCCTCTGCTTCTCTGCTGGTTCTCTTCTGGTCTCTCGCTTGTTCAGCCTCTGGGGTTCTGTTCCGTGATGCTGCCCTTATAAGCCAGTCTCAGCCCAGCTATACCCACCTAAGCATGCCCACACCCTACTCCAGGTGTCCGCCATCAAGCATGCATTTAATCTAATGGCGGGAGGGCCGAAAAGCCTGACAATCATTCAATCATTTACCCTACAGGAACCAAATAAGGGATCAAGAAAAAAATAATAAATTAAAAAAACCTAAATTAACAGGCAACTATACATCAGAGATAATCTGCAGGGGAGGGGAAGGGAGAGGGATCAAAGCAGGGGAGGTAAGAGCACAAGGGACTATGGCGATGGTGCACTGGTGAACAGTGGTGGGAATTCTATGGGGACTACACCTGAGAGGAGAAAGCAAACATTGTACAAAAATGAACAGTGATGTAATATATATATATATAAATTAAAAAAAATTATGTAGTCTTACAAAGGAAGGAAGTCCGGCAATATGTTGCAACATGGATGAACTTTAAAGACATTAAACTAAGTGAAGTAAGTCAATTACAAACAGATGAATACAGTGTGAGTCCAGTTATATGAGATGCTGAGAGCAGTCAAAATCATAGAGAAGGCAGGATTGTGGTTGCCAGGAGCTGGGAGAGGAGTGGAGAGTCACTGTTTAGTGGATACAGAGTTTTAGTTTTGCAGTGCATGTAGGGTAGAGAGTTCTGGAGCTGGGAGGTGGTGATGGTGGCACAGCCATGTGACTATGCTTACTGCAACTGAACTGTACACTTCTAAATGGTGCAGGTGGTAAATTTTATGTTATGTATATTCTACCACAATAAAAAAAATTTGAAGCAAACAAATTAACAAGAACCTTCCCAATTTAAAATAAAATTAACAAAAGTTATGAAAGTAGAAAATAATATAACAGAGTCCAGCCTCCCTAGAAACTAGACAATCCAAATGAAAACAAGTTTATTTTTATAATTAGCAAATAATGAACTTTTTTAAAAGAGAAAACACAAATATAACTAGATAAAGACATTTGATTAACTGAGTGAGTCCTTTGACATACTTCCCTCACCCCACATACACTTAAAAAAACCCCAATACTTCCTTAATGTTCTGGTCTATAAAGATGTTCCAAATTCATCTTGCATTTACCTGCTTCAGGTCTTAGAATTTGTTGCTTCCCCAGGGTACCCTATATTCCTTTATTGGAGAATGGTGTTTAGAAACTGAGATCTGATGTTAGGTGTATTCATTACTGTTGGGGTGTCACATCATGAGGAAATAAATGTGCACTGGCCCACTGTAAGGGCAGAACTGGACCACAGTGCAGGTTTTCTGATCCCATGCAGAGCGGGTAAAGGAGGAGTCAGAGTCCTCAGTGGTTTTGCAGGTTTTTATTGGGGCTCAGCGGGTATGTGGCAGGCAGGGGTGCTGAGGGGCGGGGAGGCTGGCAGGCCTCCCAGCCCCCAGCAAATCCGCACTCTCTCTGGGCTCTCTGGCGTTCTCTGCTTCTGCTTCTGCTTCTGCTTCTTGGCTTCTGCTGCTCCTGGCGTCCCCATGACGCCGCCCTTAAAAGCACAGTCTCAGCCCAGGTGAATCCCACCTACCTATGCCCACACCCTATTCCAGGTGCCCGCCATCAGGCATACATTCAGGACCTCAAGGATCCATCATCTATCCTGATGGCGGGAGGGCAGAAAAGCCTGACATTTTCCCTTACCCTACACCCACGAATACATACATATCTGTATTTCTGTATGTTTCTGTCTATATATTTTAAAATAACCATAAGTTCATACTAGTATCTCAGACTCTGCTCTAGCCCCATGGACTTCATTCTAACTTTCTTTGGGGAATGTTTTAGAATGTCATTGTCTGGGTACCAAGCCAGGCCAATTAAATTAAAAAGTCTGGAGATTCAGCTGCCATCGCTATTTAAAAGAAAATAAAAATCCCCAGGTGAGGGGCCTACCCGGTGGTGCAGCGGTTGAGCGCTGGGTTGCGAAGCTGCCCGCAGCCTCTGCAGCGCCGGCTCGATCCCCAGCTGCTCCCCTGCCACCAGAGGAGGGTCCCACATGGCGCACAGACCTCTCCTGCCGCCCGCTGCTCCCCTCAGCAGTGTGCTTCGGTCCTTCTGCCTGCCCTGCTCCCCGCTCTGGCTCTGGTGAATTCTCTCACCCTCCCGCACTTCTTACTATACCCAGTGCTTGTAC